CTAAAAGACCCCAAGGGCCCATCCTCCCCAGACCCACATGGTCTCGGAGAGTGCTAAATGCTCCCAGGGGCGTAAGTGTTGGACGGCCTACTCCAGGCACTTCAGATGGCCCCCAAATCGGCTGTAAGATTTTCGCCGCAGCGCCCAGGACGGGGGCGCCCAAGAGTTCCGGGATGCCCTCGACCGCCTCGAGGACAGTCGAGAGATGTTTGCCACCTCTTATGCCCTTGCACAGGGGCTGCAGGAAGTTCGCATGGCCGCAGGGCTCTTGCATGAAGGTTTTCAATCGCTGAAGCTCAACGCAGAGTTGGGCGCCCAGATTTTAGATGAGCTGCTCGAGCAACCATCGATGCAGGGTTTGCCGCCGAGCGCAGTAAGGATGGGCAGGAATGGAGGGGCTGGGCTCATTCATCTATGAGAGGAGGTATGGGATAGGCTCACAGGTGGACGAAGAAGCTCGAAGCTGTCGTGCATCGCCGGCGTTCCTCAGGTCGCCCGCAGCGCGCCCTCCAGGTTGAGGCCGACCGTCGCGCCAAGATTTGGGGCGCCCGCCCTGATGCCCTCTTCAGTGGGCCCCCCCCACGGATGATAGAGTGGCGGTCGGCCTAATTTCCCTTGCCCGATTGCGAAAGGTTACCAGAAGCTTTCCTTATTGCACGTCCTCCACCTGGGACGGAGCGCGCCCGCGCCACCTTGCCATGCTTGACGACGAGCAAGCAGGTCTCGTTTGCAGGATGATCGAGCTAATGGAGCAGATAGGACAGATGCCATCGCAGTTGCAAGTTGCTATCTCTACCCTGATGCTAAAGCTCAAACAACAGCATGCAGCGCAGTCTCAGCCAGCTTTCAGGTCGATTGGCATGCTTCCTGCCCCCTGCCGCGTCTGGGCCCGACTGTTGCGGCCAGCGGCCCGCGAGTGGGAACATCGCCACATGCGGCCATGTTGCACGCCGGGCGGGGCATTCAATCGCGGAGCCTGGGCGCGCCCAATCTCTGGGGCGCGAGGTTTCCGCTTGCTGGGATGGCCGCCGACATCCCGCACAAGTTCCATGGGGGATATATCTAACTATTCCGGCGGGGCGAAAGTTTAGGCCCATTTGCCGTATCCTAGTGGAGTTTCCGCGCGCCGGCTCGGAGGCATTTTCCGCGCGTCCAAAAAAATCCGGGCGATTTGATCCCTTGGAATCCACAGTTACTTCTAATCCGTATGAGTGGAATAATTTTCTTTCACCGCGGCCGCGCCACTGCGGCGCCTTGTCGTCTCGGCGCAGGGGTCCACGGGGGGGGGGGGGGGGCGTCGCAAGTCTCGCGACGCTCTCGCCTTCATTCGTCGCGGCAAGATTAATGGGCCGAACTATTGTTGCGGCGGCGCGCGAATTTTCAGGGTTCGGTCGCGGAACGGACGGCGGGCGGCGCGGCGAGGAGGTGGCCTCGTTGCCCCCCGAATGCTGAGCTGGGGGCGTGTAGGGGGTGGCCCCAGAGCGCCTCTTCTCTCCGTCGCACCGGGGCTAGAGCGCCGTTTTTCTTCGCCGCGCAGAGGCCTGCTCGGCCCCCGTCGCACCCTCGATTCAAGAAGGCGCTCATCTGCCCAGGGGTCAGCGGTCAGCGACGCGCCTCCGCCGACCCGAAAGACTAACCGCAAGAGCTGGCGCGCTGCTTGGGCGCGGCGACGCCCGGAAAATTGCGCCCGGCACGCTGCTCGGGCGCGGCCAAGAAACCGCCGCCGTCGGTCGGGGCCGCGGCGCGTTTCACCCTCCTTCCGGGTGATCTCCTTGCGCGGGGCGGAGAAAGAGGTGAGAATACATCCTGCGGTTGAAGGCACCCGGCGCGCAAAATTGCGCTAGGTGCCCTTCCAGCTGGGCGAAAGTTTAGGGCCATTTGCCATTTGCCTTCCCCAGTGGAGTCGCCTCGCGCCGGCGCGGAGGCATTTTCAACGCGTCGCAAAACAGGCGGAATAATTAATCCCTTGGAATAAGTAGTTATTTCGAATTCGTATCAGTGGACGAATTGTTTCTTCCGCCGCGGCCGCGCCACCGCGGCGCTTTGTCGTCGTGGCGTGGGAGTCCACGGAGGAAGGGTGGGCGCCGCAAGTCTTGCGACGCTCTCGCCATCATTCGCCATGGCAAGATACATGGGCCAAGCTAGTACTACGGCGGTGCATTACGAACGCATTGACAGAGAATGCCTCGCCAAGCGCGCGACTGCCGCAGGGTTTCCGTGCTGCTTGCTTCACATCAGTCTCGCTGAGTATTGCAGTTCGAGGTGCGTTGCTCATTGAGATACGTTTGTGCGTGCGTCAGTGTCGGTAAGGCGTGGGGGGGCCGCATAGCTGGGCGCGGGTGGGCTGCGCATCTAATTCAAATGTATGTTCTCGCTCCCCTCGACCAGTGGAGCAGCGCAGACAACCATATCATACCCGCGATGTCAATGGATGCTTTTCTGCTGCAGTGCCATGCGAAAAGCTACGATCTAGTCATCAGCCAGCTGAATATTTCTGCTCGTTCCTGAGCCAGTTGAATCACGCGCGAGCTCAAGTGCCAGATCGCCACCAAGAAAAGCCAGGTCTTTGGCTCCAGCCGAGACCTCCAAGCTAAGTTCCGCAAGGCCCTCGGGGTGCTCGCTGGGCCCTCCGCGGATGCTCAAGCAGGCCAGGTTTCAGTATCTTGCGGCTGCAGTTCCGAGGCGCGCCTCTCGAAGCCGTGCCCTCGCCCTCCTCATCCTCCAGGGCCCTCTGTTGAAAGCTGGCTTAGGACCGGCCCTTTTCGTGGCGCCGCTTGGTCTGGGAGGCCGACGCCAGCCCGGCGACGGCTGCGGTTAGCCTCCAGCAGCTGCGCTTGCGGGGGGAAGCGATTTTGCCGAGGGCTGCTGCAAAAAACTGGGGCCCCTGTCGGGGCCCACTCAGCGCTGCCGTTCTCTCTTTCTCTCTGTCTTTCTCTCTCTCTCTCTCTCTCTCTCTCTCTTTTTCTTTCTCCAGGGTGGGGTGGAGTTCCCAGGGCCTCTCTAGGTTTGCGTCGCCTGCAGGACTTGAGCGCCCCCCCCCCCAGAAACCTCCCCAGCGCGAGTGGCCAAGCTGCTCGAGATTACTTGACGCGATCAGTTGGCTGAGCGTGCTGCCGCCAAGATGGGGCATCCAGGCGAGCGGCTACAGGTTTCTGTCGTGCGCGTCGTGTTCAGCTTACCCGGTTTGTCCAAGCAGCAGCGCGGCACCCTCCTCGCCTTCGTCGCCCACAGTAGATGGATTATGGCGCGCTAGAACCGCAGGATATGACGTGCCCCGAGGATGCCCCTGTGGTCACCACAGTGACGACCTCCAGCATTGCCCCCTGGAGTGCCCCATGGCCGAGAACGCCAGATCAGATGTTACCAGTGGGGGGCTTCTCCCCAATCCACCTAGGTTTCCAATGTGCGCCCAATTTCTAGGTTGACCCGCCTCCTGGCACAGGTTTGGAAGCTTCTCGGTTTTGGTGTCGAGACCCAAGGCCTGAGAAAGCTTTTAAGGGAGATGTCTTCATAGATGGCAGTTGCACGTGCCACGGGCACTATACTTTCAATGTTGCTGGTGTTGCCGTTGTTTGCATGGTGAACGGAGAAGGGCTTACCACTTTCAGCGGCCGCCGCGTCGGTGCCCTGGGATCCTAAACCTCTGGAGTTGCCGAACATCTCGCCGCTGTCGCGGCTGGCCGCCTGTCTCCCATCATAGACAACATTTACTCGGGCTACAAAGGGGTTTTCCTGCTGCACTGCAGCGACGGGTACCTTCGCAAGAATAGATGGGCTGGCTTTAAGTGCTCGCGGGCGGAGGACATGGCAGCCTCAGCCCCGGACCCCAGAAAGTTAAGGCCCACCAGAATCTTGACACCCTGGCCCCTGACAGTGAAGAGCTTCGTTTAGCGAGCGGCAGCGATGCTGCAGACAGAGTTGCCAAGGCCGCCGCTAACCTGGGCAGCCAACCTAGTCGTCCTGAAGCAGAGCAGCATCTGAGCGACACTGCTCTGCTTAAGAAGTCCCTTCGATATGCTGCTAAAGCCCTTGGAGAGTGGCTTGCGACTGCCCCTCGTAGGAACAAGGCGCTGGCCAAGCCCGTCAAGAGCCTCTCCCCTCCCTCGGGGGCTGCCTCGGCCTTGGCTTCCTGGGGCCCTGGGCCCCCGTCCCCTGCGCCCCGTCCTCCTCCCCCTCCTTCCCCGTCCCCTGCGGCCCCTCGTGAGACCCCGAGGGCCCACGCCTGGGCGACTGTCAAGGTCCAGCGCTGATGCACGCTTTGCCCCATCCGCGTCCGCTCGATCAAAGCATGGGAGGAGCAGCGCCGGGCAATGGATTGTCTTGGACACTGCCCCCAGACGTCCAGCCTTGCCTCCAACGTTCGGGGGCAGACTTTGCTTTATCATGTGCACCTCGAGCAGCCAACGAGCATCCTGGTGTGTCACATGTGTGGATCGCTCAGGGAAGGCAGTTCGCGAGGTTTGTCTGGCAAGTGCCCTTTGAGACCGCCCTACATCGGGGCCAAGCTGCAGCTGCAGCGTGCGCAGTCGGGCCGTCACCCCAAGGGTGCCGCTGCTAGCCCGATTGTGTTTGGTCTCCCTCCAGTGCCGCTGGATCAGCTATTCAGGGAAGCAGCCCAAGCCAGGCAGGAGGCCGCCCCGCCCTAGAGGACAGGTGGCTCGAACTCATCATCCAACTGCGTGCTGGTCCTCCTCCTCCTCCTCCTCCTCCTCCCCTCCTCCTCCTCCTCCTCCTCCTCCTCCTCCTCCTCCTCCTCCTCCTCCTCGTCGTCATCCCCCTCTTTCTCCTCCTCGTCATCCCCCTCTTTTTCCTCCCCCCCCTCCTAATCCCCCTCTTCCTCCTCCTCGTCCCCCTCCTCCCTCTTTTCTTCGTCCCCCTCCTCCCCCTTTCGCTCGTCCCCTCCTCCTTCCTCCTCGCCCCCTTCTCCCTCGCGTCCCTCTTGTCCTCCCTCTCCTTCTCCTGCTCTGCTCTGCTTCTCGTGCCGTCGTGCTGGCGTCCAGGAGCTTCGCGGGTCTCTCGCGGCGGCCCGGGAGAAGCTCCGGGCAGACCAGAAGGCCTTGGACGAGGCCACCGCGATCCGTTCGCAGGACCTGGCACGGGGAAGGGGTGGACGAGGCCGGCAGGAGGGAGAGGGAGGACGGAGGGAGAGGAGGGGGGAGGAGAATGCGACGCGGGGCACTGCAGAGTGCGTGCTCCTTTTGCGGCTGAGCCAGGCGGCCGGCGCCTAGACTCTGGGAGTCGCCAATTACGCCGCCGCCTGGCTCGGCCCCCAAAGTTGAAAATATCGGCCCCGCTACCCCCGACGGCTGCTCTCTGGAAGACGGAGCTTTGCAAGGCTCCTCCGGCGGCGCCCCGCGGAGGAGGAAGAAGCAGGCGGGAGGAGGAGGGAAGGGGAAATAGGGCAGAACGAGGGAGAGGGGGACGAGGGGAGGAGGTCGGGCAGAGCAGGAGGGTGCCAGGAGGAGGAGGAGGAGGAGGAGGAGCAGGAGCAGGCAGGAGCAGGAGGAGGAGGAGGAGGAGGAGGAGGCGGAGGAGGAGGGGGAGGGAGCGCGGCATACAAGATTTCGCGTGGGCGTGCTCTTTTTGCATGAATCTCCTCGCCCGCTCCTCTCCTGACGGCATCTCGCCTTACGTCTGGCTCGCCAGCCCCGACGCCCTTCATTTTTGTTGATCTGCTGTTGTAGACCCCTTTCCATCCAATAGCTTGATGTTCTCTTCCTCTACAGTTCTTGGCGCCTGCCTCCGTGCGGCCTGCAATTCTTGACGCTTCGCATATCCGCACCAGCCCATCCAGACAGGATCGGTGGCTTTCTTGAAGCCTCTTGGAGGCTATCTTGAGCCATGCTTGGCTAGAGGCTGTCGGAGGCTATCCTGAGCCATGCTCAGCCATCTTGGGCCATCTTGAGGCTGTCTTGAGGCCTCCTGGAGGTGTGTCGGAGGCTATCTTGAGCCATGCTCTACCTCATGGGACCATCTTGGGAGTAGGAGGAGAAAGAGGAGGAGGAGGAAGAGGAGGAGGAAGAAGAGGAGGGGGAAGAGGAGGAAAAGGAGAAGGAGGATAAGGAGGAGGAAAAAGAGAGAAGGAGGAGGAGGAGGAGGGGGAAGAAAAGGGGGAGGAGGAGGAGGAGGAGGGGGATAAGGAGGAGGAGGAGGAGAAGGAAGAGGAGGAGGAGGAGGAGGAGGAGGAGCAGGAGGAGGAGGAGGAGGAATGTGGCACGAGGAAGATGATGATGATGATGATGATGATGATGATGATGATGATGATGATGCTGATGATGATGATGATGATGATGATGATGATGATGATGATGA